AGTCTGAGCCGTGCCCTCCGCTTCCCCGCCTCCCTCTCCGTCCTCGGGCTCGTCCCCCATTTACCGCTGGCCTCCTGCCCACCTTCCCCTCGTTCCTGTAACTCTGTGACCCCTTCACACTTTGTCTCCTACTCACCCGGGCCCGGCTGGTGCCACCAGCCCAACCCTCTCAGATATTTGTCCCTTTTCTCCGTCTCTCTTCAGACCCCTCACTCATATTCTCAGAACCAGCTCACAGAATCCTCTTTGTACTCTTTTTAAACTGTAATTCCTGCCTGAGGAGTGCGCCTACGAAGCACGCCGTATGTTTTTCTCAAGGGACCTGAGCCAGTTTACCTGGCAAGACTGTCCCTCTTGGTCTCCCAGCGCGCGGCTCACTTCATCCCCACCCCTCCTTTCCCAGAGGCGGAGGTAATTCCCCCACCCCGGCCCAGGAGCGATGCTGAGGGGTTTGCCCTCGGGCTTTCCTGTGAGGCCTGGGCCCGCTCCTGCCTCACCTTTGAACAGCTGGTGCCCCACAGCAGCCTGTGCCTCAGCCAGGTCGCTGAGGGGGCAAGAAGTAGCTTTCTCCCTAGCCGTGGGCGAGCCGCGAAATGCGGCGGGNGGCGAGCCGCGAAATGCGGCGGGAGAGGCGGTCCTGAGGGGGCGCCAGCAGGCCCTGGGGAGTTGTGGTTCAGAGAACCATGTGGTCCGCGGAGAGAACAAATGGGAACAGAAAGGCCTCTGGAAGGCCCAAGCCTCTGCCATTTTTTTTTTTCTTTTTCTAAAAATATATCTTTATTGATTTTAGAGAGAGGAAGAGAGAGAGATAGAAACATCAATGATGAGAGAGTCATTGATCGAGCCCGCAACCTGGGCATGTGCCCTGACCAGGTATCGAACCCTGATACCCTGATCGCCTGGATCCTAGGTCGATGCTCAACCGCTGAGCCACGCCCGGCCGGGCCATTTTTCTTTTAGTCGGTGGGATAGGGCGATGTAGAGGGTGGGGTAAGGAGGGAGAAAGCTTCGAACTAAACACCCCGGTCTGACTCTTCATAGCTTGTTCTGTGGGAGAGTGGGGGCTCCAGCTGCTCATAGTTCTTTCTTGTCTCCTCCTTATATTAGAGGTGTCAGAGGAAGACAGGCCAGTCCCTGGGAGTGTTCCTGTCAGCATCAGGGCCCAGGGGCCTGAAGATTGTGCCATTTGCTTCAGAACTTCTCTCCCCAACTTGGCTGGTCTCACCATCTCAAAACCTTGTTATGCACTGGGGTCTAGGTAAGTAAGGCTGCACCCTGGTTACTTGGTTATAATTTCTCATGCTTTCCCTAATGGAAGGGATGTGGCCAAGAACATGTAGGCAACGGAGTTGTCTAGCTACCTCTAATGTAATAATGACTCAGCCATAGGGTCGCTGTTCTTCTGGTAGTTCCAGCTCAGTCCATGGACTGATTCATTATCTTTGCCTTAAAGCTTAAGTTTACTAGTTTGCTGATGGGTGATGAGATGGGTGGTGACCTAGTTCTTCTGAATACAGGCTTTTGGGAGACAAGGGAAGTAAAAGGGCAATTTATTAAAATTGACAGTAAAAGGTGGAACTACCAAGAGGACTGCATCTCTTAGGGCAGCTGGTGAGTGCTTTTACTTTTGTGTTTTAATTCTTAGTAGAATCCCATTAAAATCAGAAGGTTGTTCAGTGAATATAAAATCAGAGAACATTAGCTCAAAGAGTTATAAGGTCTTAAAGGAGATGTCTTTCAAGCCATAGCTCGCTAATAAATTTATTTTTCCCACTCAAGAGACCCTCATCATTTGCATATTTCCGCACACATATTAAAAGAAATCAGTGAACAACTTCTTTACATAATCTATCATCCCCTTTAATTTTTTCTGCTTTGAAACAGTACTGTCCCAGAAGTTTTGAAAGGCAGAGTGGTTTGCTCTTCAGTCTGGCAGAGTAGAGGTTAGTGACAGAAATACCAAACTGCTCACAGGGCCAGGTACTGGGCTCAAGAGAGGTTCATATATTCAGTTCTCCTAGGGCACGTGCTGAAAATGTAGGCTTCCAAACTAGCATTGCAAGAAATGTTAAAGGGACTGCTGTAATAATAAGTTGAAATAGAGAGAATGAGAAACATAGGCATAAAGAAATAAAATGGCAATAGATAAGTATCTATCAATAATAACCTTAAATATAAATGAATTAAAGGCTCCAGTCAAAGGATATAGGGTAGCTGAATGGATACGAAAACAAGACCCAAATATATGCTGTCTACAAGAGACTCACCTCAGAACAAAAAACTCACACAGGCTGGGGGGAAAAAACAAAAAACAAAAACTTCTGGAGGACTTTAAAGGAGAGATTGATAGCAACACAGTCATAGTAGGGGACTTTAACACCCCACTAACTTTACCGGATAGATCTTCCAGACAAAAAAATCAACAAGGAAACTGGTTCTAAATGATACACTAGATTAGATGGATTTAATTGACATTTACAGAACATTTCACCCTCAATCTGCAGAATATGCCTTCTCCTCAAGTGCACATGGGACATTCTCAAAGACAGACCACATTCTAAGACACAAAACAAGTCTCTACAAGTTCAAGAAGACTGAAATCATATCAAGCATCTTCTCGGACATTTATACCTTTGAATACTATGCAGCTGTAAAAACGAAGGATCCCTTACCCAATGAGACAGCATAGTGGGACCTGGAGAGTATTATGCTAAGGGAAATAAGCCAGAGAAAGACAAATATCACATGATCTTACTCATATGTGGAATCTAATGAACAAAACAGATCCAGAGACATAGAAGCATGGAACAGACTGATGAATCTCAGAGGGAAGGCAGAGGTGGGTGGGTAGGTGGGTGGGTGGGGAGATATTAACCTAAGAACTTATATGCATATATGCATAACCCATGGATGGACACAGACAATAGTGGGGTGAAGGCCTGGAGGGAGGGGTGTAAGGTGGAGGGGATCAAGGGGGAAAAAGGAGGATATTTGTAATACTTTCAATAATAAAGATAAATTAAGAAAAGAAAAAGAAAAAAAAAGAAAATGTAGACTCCCAGTTCATGCTAACTGAATTGGGATTTCATGGTTTGGTACCTGGAGCCTTCATTTTTCATTCACAGAGGTGAAGGGTAAGTAGTGAGTGAGTGAGTGAGTGAGTGAGTGAGTGAAGAAAAGGGAAGAGAGGGGGACAGGAAGCAGTGAGCCCACATTCCTTTTCTATTCTCTCCCTGTCACTCTCCTATACTGTCCTTTGCCCTATGTCTTCCTTCCTGCTCCCTCTAGTCTAGACCTTGTCCATTCCCAAACCATACTTCTAAGTGCCAGGCTGTCTCCTTTCCCTCATCCTCAAACCACATTCCACTATTTTCACCAAAGTGAGTGTCTAAAGAAATTGTAGTTACAACCCCACTCTCCTCTTAAAATATTTCATTACTGGACAATTTCAAACATAGACTAAGGTAGGGGAAATAGCATAATAAATCCTTCACCCAGCTTCTACTGTCAACTCAATTCTAAATCTTACTTCATTTATACCTCTACCCACTTCCCCCCAAATATTATTTTGATGCAGATTGTAGATCAGATAACATTTTGTCCATAAATATTTCAGTATGTATCTCTAAAAGATAAGAACTTTTTAAAAAAATAAACTTTATTTTTAGAGTGGTTTTAGGTTCATAGCAAAATGGAGTGGAAATTACTGAGAGTTCCATGTAGTCTGTGTACACACACACACACACACACCCCCTTCTGCACTATCAACATCCTACACCAGAGTGATAAAGTTGTTATAATTCATGAACCTACATTGACACATCATTATCACCCAAAGTCCATGCTTTACCTTAGGGGTCACACTTGGTGGTGTACATTCTGTAGGTTTGACAAATTTATGATGACATGTATCCACCGCTGTGGTATCATATAGAGTAGTTTCACTGCTCTAAAAATCCTCTGTGCTCTGCCTTTTAATCTCTCCCTCTCCCTTGACTCCTGGCAACCACTGATCTTTTTATTGTCTCCATAGTTTTGCCTTTTCCAGAATGTCATAGTTGGAACCATATGGTTTGTAACCTTTTCAGATTGACATTTTTTGCTTAGTAATGTGCACTTAAATTTCCTCCATGTCTTCTCGTGGCTTGATAGCTCATTTCTTTTTAGAGCTAAATAATATTCCATCTTGTGAATTGGGTTGCTTTTTCCGTCTTTCTGGACCAGATTGAGACTGTGTTAGATAGTGTGAGAAGGGAAGTAACTAGATCTGGTTCTGCCTGCAGGAGTCTAAAGGCAAGGTAGCTAGCAGAGGTCAGCCTCTCCACCCAGGCTTCCAACATTCAGAGTGACTCCAGGACACCCAGAAATGAAGACAGCTCCTCCACAGGGGGTGGGCACCTCTGTGTGATCCAGGAGAGGACGCTGGGTACCTTATCACTGTTATAGACTACGCAGGGGGAAATAGGGCAGGGGGAAGGCTGTGAGGGATTACCAGCTATTTCCAGTGAAAGTAATCAAAGCAACATGCTATGCATGCACCTTGGGGAAAACAGGGAGGGGAGAAAGGAGTAATCAGTAAATATCAGGCGGAGTTAAAGGAATGATTGAAGTGGCTGCCAGGTCCTTGGGTAGGATCATGAGACCCCCACTTGCCTCACTTCACTTCCACTCCATTCAGCTCCAGCCCTGGGTTGGAAACACAACTCCTGGGGTATCTTGGGATGTTCCAGTATGCTCTGGGGAGATCTGTCAGTGCCCTTCTCCCCCAAGGATTTCCCTTAGGCCTAATAAAATATTTTGCATGTGTGAAATGCTTTAAAGTTTGTAAAGTATCTTCCCCACGTTCCCTCATTTAAAAAAACAAACAAAAAACTGTTTCTTAGAGCAGTTTTAGGCTCACAGCAAAATTGAGCAGATATTCTTTCATTTAAAATTTTGATTCTCACATCCACCCTACAGATAGGTACGGCAAGTATTATTATCTCCACATTTACATTTAGATTATGTTTAGAATCACACTGTAGCAAATGGAGCCTGGTGCTAACTGAGGTTTTCTGATCTCTTAAGCCCCAGGCACCTTCTCTTGGTTCCCACAGAGTGAATTCTGAATCTTTCCTTCCCATAAGCATGGAAACCCCAGACCACATCTTATTCCCAGAGCTTAGAAACAAGTTTGAGAAGTTCCCTCAGTTTCCTCCTTGACAACAGAGGCCCATGGAAGTCCATCTGTGTCCCTGGTGCAAGGTGCACCCTCTTCGTCTCTGGCAGAGGCACCAAGACCCAGAACTTTGTACAATGCCCTGGTAAGCTGCTTAGGAGTGGGTATTAGCAGGGATTGGATAGTCTTCCCCTGAGATGCCCTTCATACCCGACCCTGCCTTGAATTAGGATTCCATAGAAGAGCTGGGGACGGGAGAATGGGGTGTTCCCTGCTGTCTAGCTTCAGACCCACTCTTTGAGACCCTGGATTTTGACAAGTTCCCAGAACTGAGAAGACACCCAGATGTCCAGGTTTGAAGGTAGGTGATTAGGTAGGAAGGATCAGTTGAGATGCCAGCTCAGCTCTGTTACATAACACAGGCATACCAGAAAGAGAGACCCTTGGAAGTTTCTTTAGGAGATTCAAAGTGTTGAGTTTATGGCAAGGGACAGGGTGAACAGGGAGACAGTGGAAAGACGATTATAGGAATCAAGGACAAAGAAGGAAAATCACTTATTTTGCAGTTCTCCTTTTGCTCATCCCTCTTTTGCTTTTTAAGACAATTGCATTTGTGTCTCTAGTGTGGTATGCTGGGAAGATTGGGGCAGTAGAAGGCTCACATGCACTGCTACTCACTAGCTGTGTGACACTGAGCAAGTTGCATCTCTCTGGACCTCAGTTTCTTTTTTTCTTTAATTTGTTGATTTGAGAGAAAAACATCAATTTGTTGTTCCACTTAATTTATGCACTCTGGTTGATTCTTCTATGTGCCCTGACCAGGGATCGACCCCTCAACCTTCTCAAATCGAGATGATGCTCTAACCAACTGAGCAACTAGGCCAGGGCTGGACCTCAGTTTCTTCATATCTCAAATGGGCAGTTACACTAAATAATGTTAGTAACTTCTGCCTTTAACTACTTACTATTCTATGGGTTACTCATCTCACTTCTAATAGATTACTTCATATGCAAAACCAGTCATTTCTAGTTACTGTTTTATAATAATCTGTGGACATTGGTTAGAGATTTAATAAATATTCACTTGCACTGAGCCTCAGTGCCCTTGATAAACTGAGGATTCTTTGAGGGCATTTCATGGTCTTTCCTAGTGTGTCCTTATGTAAAATAGCCATATGGAGCACTTGATTCTGTACAGTGCTTTTCACAGACTTTATGTGTTTTACTCTCCCAACATTCCTATGACATAGGTATTGTTATTACTATTGTTATTTCTATTACAATGAATAAAATTTAAAATTAAAATTAAAATATAACATCCATATAATAAAAAGGTTGAGTGGTTAAACTGAACAATAAGGTATACTGAAAAGTAAGTCTCCTTTTGACCCCTGGCCTTTGGTTTCCCTTCTCTAGATGTCCTTCCAGAGATCATCTTTACATAATCAACATATATGTTATGCCCATTTCACAGATGAGGTACTGAGGCTCAGCCCCTCCAGGGTGACACAGCTGGCAAACGGCAGAGCTGGGAATCCAAGTCTTTGACTCCATTGTCCATGTTCCTCCCACCGCATCACACTGTCTGGGAACCTTCATGACATTAACTTTTAAGCTTTATCCCCTCTGGATGATATGGTGGAATTGTTTTAAGCCAGTCTGAAAAAAACATGTGGAGTCTTGATGTCCCTGGCACTGTCTTCCACTGCTGCCTCTTTTTGTCTAAAGTTTAAAAACATGTCTTTTTATCTCCCTTATGCCTTTGATAAGGTGAGATCTGTGGCCTGGGCACCAACTACATATGACTGAGCTCCCAGCAATTCAGGCTTATACCTAGGAGTGCTGGCAGACTTCGGGTGGACCCAGCTCAGGAGCCTAGGTTGCTGGCATGCCTACACAGCACTGAGGACCCCTAGATGCTCTTTTGCCCATGAATAGGCATTGCCCCCTTGAGCAGGGTGCAGAGGTAGTTTTGTTCCAACAGAAACACTGTCTTCTCCACAAAGGCCCCTGCATGAATTGTTACTCTTTTCCAGATGAGGGTTTGGTGGATCCCAGCTCTCCTCTTAAGGGCAAATAACCTCTTTTTTTCCCCCCCTCTCTAGGGTTGTGGATATCTCTTGGCTGGGCTTCATGGAGAAATCTTCCCTGATCACCAACCTGAATCCCAGAACAGCCCCCATCTTTCAGTGGACAGAATGAGAGCGTTCTGTAACCCGGCATAACTGGCCATCATGGGGAAATTGATCAGGGTGGGAATGCAGGAAAGGCAGTTACTGTGGCCAAAACGGCTTCAATGGAGCCGCTTCCTCTTCCTACTGGGAATGTTGATCATTGGTTCCACCTACCAGCACCTGAGGAGCCCCTGGGGCCTCCCCTCACTGTGGGCAGCAGTCCCTTCCCAACACCCTGTAAAACTGGCCAGCCGGGACCTTCCCAACAATGAGATGATGATGGTGAGCAGTGACCCTCCAAGAGCAGGTTCTGAAATGGAGGGTGAAACACTGGCACTCCAAGCCACAGTGGGCAAGGAGGAAGCAACACCTGACATAACAATGGAGAACACCCCCAATACACCCAGAATAGCCAACATCTCTCCAACGGTACCCAAGAATAACTACAGCCCAATAGCAGCAGGCACAGAAAGAGTGAAGGAAAACACTCCAACCATACCAAGTGGAGTACTGAATCACTACACCCCAACTTCAAGCACATCAACAGTAAAGAATTATACCCCAACAACACCCGGGGGAGAAATGAAGCACTACCACCCAACTCAAGCCAGGGGAAAGGTAAAAAAATACACCCCATCCCCACATGGTAGAATAGTAATCTCTGCCCCATCCACATTCATGACAATGACAAGAAGCAATGGGATCACCCCCGGAACAACAGTGAAAGACAGTGAAACTATGGCAACTTACAAAATGCTGGAGAGCAGCCCCTCCAAGGGAATAGTGGAGGAAACCACCCCGACTACTCTCAAGGGAGTAACTGATAATACTCCAACTTTCCTGATAAATTACATAGAAACAGACATCTTGACTTCTCCTAGGAGTACATTGGAAAAGAACACCCTGACTATCCCCAGAAGAGTGGACAGCTCAACCAACCCTCGGAGGTTAGTGCTAAAGAACAACCTGATGACCCAGGGAACAGTCTTAGAGCACACTGCATCCATCTCTGAGGGGCAAGCGATGACTAGCACCATGACAGGAAGCAGCCTAACAGAAACCAAAGTCTCTACTGCTGCTGGGAGGGTTAGGAATCCCTCATCCAGAACCAGTGTACCAACCATTGGAATGTCCTTAGCCACCTTCTGGGGGCTGGCGAAGAAACCTTCCACAGCACCAAGCACCTCAGCAACTCCCAGCGTTAGGGCAAATCTGACTACTCAGGTTCGTCACTATGTAGTTGTGGAGTCAGCTCCAGCCATTCCCACTATCCCCTCCCCCAGTGTGACAACAGCCCTGCTCCCAGAGGCACCCAGCCCCAGTCCCTCAGCACTGCCCCCCAGCCAGCCAGACCTCCACCCCAAAGCAGATTATCCCCCAGACCTGTTCAGCGTGGAGGAGCGGAGGCATGGCTGGGTGGTCCTGCACATCTTTGGCATGATGTATGTGTTTGTGGCCTTGGCCATCGTGTGTGACGAGTACTTTGTCCCAGCCCTGGGCGTCATCACAGACAAGCTGCAGATCTCTGAGGATGTGGCAGGTGCCACATTCATGGCTGCTGGAGGCTCTGCTCCTGAGCTCTTCACCTCCCTCATCGGCGTCTTCATCTCCCACAGCAATGTGGGCATTGGCACCATCGTGGGCTCTGCTGTGTTCAACATCCTCTTTGTCATCGGCACCTGTGCCCTCTTCTCCCGGGAGATCCTCCACCTCACCTGGTGGCCCTTGTTCCGTGACGTCTCCTTCTACATCCTTGACCTGATGATGCTCATTCTCTTCTTCCTGGACAGCCTCATTGTCTGGTGGGAGAGCCTACTGCTGCTGCTGGCCTATGCCTCCTATGTGTTCACCATGAAGTGGAACAAGAAGCTCGAGCTCTGGGTGAAAGAGCAGCTCAGCAGGAGGCCAGGGGCCAAGGTCATGGCCCTAGGGGACTTTAGCAAGGTAAGAGCAGGCTAGCTCAGGCTTCTTTAGCCTCTTTGGGGCAAAAGGGTGAGGGAAGCCCGGGACTAAAGAATGAAAAGTGCTGGGTCAGACCTCAAGAGATGGGTGCGCTGGTTCCCTTGCTATTCATTCAACATTTAAAGTCCTGTTCTTTGCCAGGCACTATACTGGGGTCTTTGCCCAGAGTGAACTTGGTTCAGCCCCCAATCATCCTATAAAATGGTTATTATTATGACCCCCCTTTGGCAAGGGAAGAAACTGAAGCCTAATTATGCCACTTGTTCAATATCACATAGCAAATAGGTGATGGAGTGAGGATTTGAACCCAGGTTGGTCTGACTGGGTCTTTGGAAATGACATTTGAGCTGGGCTTTGGAAAATGTCCAAAGAGGTATCAGGTAGGGAAAAATGATAATCTCTTCCATGTGCATGGTGTTCAGGGTTTATGTAGCATCCTCACTTTCATTTAATCTTATTTGTTCACATTCCAGACTTGGAGGATCTGGTGGCTTGGATGGGGTCCGAGAAGGAAGGAAGGAAGGATTTTTTAAATTTTGTTTTGTTTTTAAAATAGTTAACATGAGAGCTCCATTCATCCACTGACAGGGCAGCCCTGGGTACAGAGCTGGTCTCCATGCTGACTGGAGACCAGATACCAAGAATGCTAACTCTGGGTCTTTCTCCTGGCCCCAAAGTTCCTTTCCAAGAAATTCTCTGTCCCATTCCTACTAAATTCATTGCAGGTTAAATTGGGGAAGTGATCTCTGAAAATTCATCTCCAAGTTGTTTATCCTTGAATCTCCAAAGTGAGGGCACCCTAAGAACACAGACTCCATTTCTCTCCTGCTCCTAAAGGCTCAGTCTAGGCTCAGTCAGTGGCCTTTCTGAGACTTGCCCGTCTCAGGTCTCAGAGAGGCTACTGGTGTGAGCAGAATTTTGCGTGCAAAGAGTGGAAGGATTTAGCTACTTAATCCAGAGCAGTTTTGATGAGTGAGCAGGATGGAGACCAAACTCAGCAACATGTCTGGGAGATACAGGATGCAAAGGAGATAAAATGTATTTCCTTTAGGATTTTTGAGATAATGTTCTGGCCAGAGCACATAACTGAGAGTCAGGTAACCTGGGTTCTAATCCAATTCTGCCTCTAATTGTGTGACCTTAGACAGGTTCCTTCCCTTCTTTGGGGGAAATCACAAATTCTAGTGAATCACCAAAAGGTCTTTCTGATTCTAACATTCATTGATAATGTGCTGTGTCCAAGTGAGCTCAGTTCTGGCAGGCCCAGCACAATGGTTATTTGTCTGATCTGATCAACTGAGCTCCAATTGCCTTATTTGCATATTGCCCCAAAAGGAGAAATGTTCTGCCCAAGGTCATATAGCCTGCAGGTATCAGAACTGGAATCCACTATCCTAACTCCCCATTCAGCACTATTTACCATGAGACTACTGCTCCATGAAGCCAGAGGCTTAAAAAAGAAAGGGAGGCTTAAAGTGTCCTATCACTCATTGTGAAGATGCAGGGGCCTCCCTTTAATGAAATTCTCAGGGTAGACCTTGCTAGGGGTGGCCATGGAGCTTGGTACTCTCCTCTGAGGAAAGCATTTACTGCCTGGTAGACATCAGGCCAGCAGTTTTCAAAATGCCTCTGACTTGCCTCCCAGTCTTTCATAGTCATTCTGTTTTTATTTAAACTGCAAATTCTGAATTTGTGATTTGGAGCTAGACCATCAGAGCAAAGCTTGCCAAGGATGTGAAGCATAATCATGATTTCAAAGGAGAATTTGTAATCTACTTCCGAGACTTTTCAAGGGCTTTCATAGCAGCTGGTTGCCAAACAGTTTTAGTGGTGCTTATTACAACTCTGTTCTTAGCTATTTGTCAAAACAGATCCAGCATGATTTTTAATGAACAGAATTATGTTTTTAAAAGCAGATTGAATTACTGGCTATACTTGAAAGCAAATCTATATTTATTTAAAATTAAAAACCTATAGTTTAGACTTCCCAGCACTAACCACTGCCTGCTAAAAATTAGTCCAAATAACTCAGGAACTATACCTATTTTGAAATGGTTTTTATTTTTTTTAAAATTATTTTTATTGATTTCAGAGAGAGGAAGGGAGAGGGAGAGAGAGAGATTGAAACATCAGTGATGAGAAAGGCATTAATCAGCTGCCTCCTGCATACCCCCTTGCTGGGGATCGAGCCTGCAGCCCAGGCATGTGTCCTGGCTGGGAATTGAACCGGCATCCCCTGGATTGTAGGTCGATGCTCAATTGCTGAGCCATGCCAGCCCGGCTTGAAATGGTTTTTAAAACTGTCTGGATCTGGAGTTTCACCCCAGGTTACTTATAGCCAGAGAGAGAGGACACTGCCTTTGCTTGTATCTTTATGTCTGTGTTTGTCTGGCCAAGACCTATGATCTGGTTAGAGAGAGATGAGTCATCCTGCATTTCACTGACAAACTGAGAAGCCATTCCATTTTGAATTCATAAAGCAATTCTCTGAAAATCCAGTCTTTGATCTAGTAACCTGGGCTGGTATTCATTTTGGTGGTTTATGCAAGAGTATGTACTCACCCCTGTAAATTATTTTACTTTAACTATGAAAATGGCTATGCCTTGCTCTCTGCCTTACTTTTACTGACTTATTAGTTCACACCTTTCCCTGACTAATGGGTCCCTTCTTTGAGCATCATCTCAGGAAGGCAGGGAGCCAGAGAAACTGGGCTTATTTAATCAGCCATGCTCCAAAGGTGAGGAAATCAGAGAGAGGTGGGGTGAGGCCAGGCAGGGTGATAGGGAGCAAAGGAGGATGGCTGGGGAGACAAGGTCAGAGCCATAGCTGCTTAGGAAGTCCAAGTAGTGGGAAGAGCCATGGAGGGCAGTGGGATCCTCTCCTCCTTGGAAAGGAACAGGAACAGGAAAGACACCCCCTTCCTCTATTACATACATACATTATCTCAACGACTTCTCATAAAAACCCTACAAGGAACAGATTGTTATCCACATTTTGCAGATGAGGAAGCTGAGGCTCAGAGAAGATAATTAACTCATCCAAAGTTACACAGCTAGTTGACGGTCCTTCCCACTGGTTTTTGAATCCATATATCTAGGTTTTAACCCAGGTTCCACTGCTAATTATCCCTGTTACCCTGGGCAAGTCAATGCAGTTCAATAAATCTTTATTATTAAGCACTGAAATGAAAAACAGTGTGGAAAATAAAAAGATTGTATCCCATCCAGTAGAGGGCACGGGCATAGACAAGAGTCCTTATAATAAAGGGAACACTGTGCAAAGTGCTACAAAGTCACTTTGCTTTTCATCCAGGCCTAAGATTGCTCATCTGAAAAGTAAATGGGATGAATTAGTGCAGGGGTTGGCAGACTTTCGCTGCAAAGGGCCAGATACTAAATATTTTAGCCTTTGTAGGCCATACAGTCTGTCACAACTACTCAACTCCATTGTGAAAGCAGCCACAGACCATGGACAATATGTAAACAAATGGGAATGGCCACATGGTGTTTCACTAAGAGCAACAAACTCACAGGTTTCTCCTACCTGAAGAACTGAACATCCAACTGATGACTATGGAGTTTCTAAGCTGGAGGGCCTTTCACTTTACTTTTTATTCTGCTCTGATAATCTAGAACCAGGATAAAAGTTTTTGGGGATGGTTCTAATCAGAATTTAAGTATTTTCAGAAAAAATAAATTATGTAGCTTCAGACATAGACACATAGCAACTATTTTAGAGTCTCTCTTTTTACACTGGCTGAAAAAAAATCAAGTCCTAAAATATTTTAGACAACATTGTCAAACTGACATGTATTGTTTCGAGGAATTACCCCAATAAGGAAATGGTAAATGTTTGTTCAACACAATCTAACTTAGCTTACTCTAAAAGTTTATACCTGATTTTGAAGCTCTCAGTGTATTTGTTCTGGCCAAAAATGACAAGCATTGGACCTGCCTTGACTGTGCACACTCACAGAAAGACAACAAACAGCAAAACTGAAGTACTAGCCTGGCTGAAAAGTCTTATCTGTATTTGGAGGACTATTGGCCCTTCTTTAGAGAGAGAGTTACGAGCTTAGCCAGGAAGGACTAGACATCTGCATGAGATGCTGTTTGGGAAGGCAGCCCTGTGGGACACCAGTGGTGAAAAGGGACGCAAGGCAGGAAATAAGTCTGGTGTGGGCCCCTCGGAAAACTCCATATCCACATTCTGACCCCCAAATACTTCAGAATGTGAAACTCTGGAGGGAAGCCTGACACTCTTTCTTAAATGCATCCGGGACTGTTTTCTTCCTGGCAGGATTGTTTACTAAACCAACCAACAGGACCCCAAGCAGACAAACCTGGGGTCTCCTTAGGTTTTTTGTCGAGGTTGACATTTATCCCAAGGGCTTTCATCAGTGGCCTGTACTGCCAGCTGCCTACTGTGCAGACAAGATGGGTGTAGGCAACTAAGCAGCCACCAGGGCCCCTCCTGCCTCTGTGGACCCTGCCCATGCTCGGCTGCAGGGGATCCACTGTGCTTTCAAAGAGGCCATCCTAGCCTGGGCTGAGGGGTTCCCTCCTTTTAACTCCTTGAATAATGGTCAGCTTCCCCCCAGTTGTCAGGAAAAGATGGTAAGAATAGAATTCTCAATTTTAAGCTCCCTTTCCTCATAAAAGTTTCTTAAGCTTTCAGTGTTCTCCTGCTAGTGGGTGCTAGCAGATGACAAAGTGAATGCATGAGAAACAACTATTAACAGAAAAACTCCGATGTGATCATGCCTCGTCCAATACCGTGTTGTTTTTATGGGGAATGTGTATGCCTGCAGTTGAGGTTTTACATGCACTCATGCAACACAGTATATTTTCTATAGTGTATATGATGGGATTAAATATGAAATCAGATATTCATGGTATTCTACAGAGAACAGCATGATTTCTAGATGCTCTGCCACCTATATAAATTGGAAACATAAACCCAACAGAACATTTTTTAGTGTGGAGGAGAGGGCGTATGGGTGATAAACAAGTAAAATAAATTAAGAAGATAATTTCAGAGGTTGACAAGTGCTATGGAGGAAATAAGCAGTGCATGTGATGGGGAGTGACTGAAGGTAGTGGGTCCCCTTTATATAGAGAGAGAGCAAGGGAGGCCTTTTGGAGGAGGAGAAGTCCAGGTAGAGGTCTTCAGAATGAGAAGGGAAACACACCATGTTCTGAAGGATTCCAGAAGAGGAAACAGCATTTGCAAAGGCTCAGATTGGGGAAAGAGCTTGGTGCAGTAGAGGAAAGAATTGGAGGCCAGTGTGGTTAGTGAGGAAGGGGAAAGTAGTACAGGACAAGCAGGGGTTGGCTGACTGAAGAAGGGGTAGGGAGTCTCCTAGGCATGTGTAAAGGCTGGAAAATGAGAGTATGAAGAGACTGTAGCTGCACTGGCAGCATGCAGCTACTGAGCTCTTGAAATGTGGCTAGTCAGCACTATGGAAAACAGTATGGAGGTTCCTCAAGATATTAAAAATGGAACTGGCCCGGCTGGCCGTGACTCAGCGGTTGAGCATTGACCTGGGGTCCAGGCGATCGGGGTTCGATTCCCGGTCAGGGCACATGCCCCGGTTGCGGGCTTGATCCCCAGTCGGGGGCGTGCAGAAGGCAGCCGGTCAATGACTCTCTCATCATTGATATTTCTGTCTCTCTCTCTGCCTCTCCTTTCCTCTCTCTGAAATCAATAAAGATATATTTAAAAAAAAAAAAAAGTTAAAAAAAAAAGGAACTGCCTTATGACCTAGCAATTCTGGGTCATATATCCGAAGAAACCCAAAACACTAATTTGAAAGAATATATGCACCCCTATGTTCACTGTAGCATTATTTATAATAGCCAAGCTATGGAAGTAACCCAAGCCCATCAATAGACAAGTGGATAAAAAAGCTGTGATACGTCAAGCTGGCTTGGCTCAGTGGTTGAGCATCGTTGACCCATGAACCTGGAGGTCATGATTTGATTCCCAATCAGGGCACATGACTGAGTTGCAGACTCGATCCCCAGTGGGGGGCATGCAGGAGGCAGCCAATCAATGACTCATTGATGTTTCTATCTCTCTCTCCTTTCCTCTCTCAGAAATCAATAAAAACATTAAAAAAAAAAAAAGCTGTGGTACATATATACAATGGAATATTACTCAGCCATAAAAAAGAATGAAATCTTACCATTTGTGACAGCATGGATGAACCTAGAGTATATTATGCTAAGTGAAATAAGTCAGAGAAGGACAAATACCACATGATTTCACTTATATGTGGAATCTAAAGAACAATATAAATGAACAAATAAAACAGAAACAGACTCATAGATACAGAGTACAGACTAATGGTGGCCAGAGTGGAAGGGGGTTGGCGGACTGGGTGAAAAGGTGAAGGGATTGAGAAATACAGATTGGTAGTTGCAAAATAGTCATGGGGATGTAAAGTACAGCATAGGAAATATAGTTGATAATATTGTAATAACTCTATATGGTGCCAATTGGGCACCAGAAATATCAGGGGAACACTTTGTAAAGTATATGATTGTCTAACCATTCTGCTGTACACCTGTAACTAATACAAAATAACACAGAATGTAAAATGTAAGTGAAAAAATTTAAAAAAAGCATGTTAAGAAGGTCGACATTTATATATTTAAAAAGAAATGGGGCTAGTAGGTGTAAAGAAGGAAGTCTTACTTTTTGCAACAGTATGGATGAACCTAGAGGGTATTATATTTTTAATATATTAGGTTAAAGTATATTAAAATTAATGTAACCTGTTTTTTTACTTTGAAAAATGTGCTACTAAAAAAATTAAAATTATATATGTGGCTTGCATTCTGTTTCTGCTCGACAGAGCTGGTTTGGAGGTAAGTAAGCAGGAGGCTGGTGTATGCTCAGCTTAGGAGTCTGTGCTCCCTTCTGAGGCCAGTGAGCTCCCAGGATGCAGAGGAGGGACATGATGTGCTTTGCTTTGAAAATCACTGGCTGAAGGGTGGAGAATGAACCAGAACAGATCAGAAGTCAGGAGCTGTTGCAGGACTCTAGGCAGGAGAATGGAAAGATGAGGCCAAATTTGAGGACTTTCATGAATTAGGTCTGACAGCTAGTTGGATGTGGTCTATGAGAGAGAGGGAGGAATTTGGGTAGACTTTTGGGTTTCCAGCCTAGACAAATGAGTGGATCAGGGTGCAAGACTGTACTCAGTGAAGGGATAAAATGAAGAGTCCCCAACTAGTGTGTAACCTGAGTGAAGGCAGGACTCATCCCAAGGTTTCAGTAAGTATTTGTTGAATGAATGTTTTCAAAAATCAGACTAAAATGTGTGGTTCAGGAAAAGTGTCAGGGATGTGTGTCTAGAAACAGAGAGGTCAATGATTAACTGCTATGTCAGTGGGAGATTGAAAATCAGGAGGACAAGCCCCCTGAGGGACTGCCATGCTTCCTCCCTGGGTTCCTATGAACAGCTGCAAGGGATCCCATTAAGTTAAAACGTCAGTAAATGCAAAGTGGTAAGCTAGTGGTCCAGCCAATGCATACCGTGGGCTTAATGGGCCTTCATCTTGATTTTCTAGGGCTGCCCCATTTCCCAGAGGGCTGTCCTACAGCTTCCCTAGGACATTAGCACTTATTTATTTACAGAGCCAGATTTTGGTATCACAAAATGTGCTCACTGTCATTATATAGCTTTTGAGGAGAGATGTATGAGTGAGCTAAAGTGGGGGTGAGGTGGAAGGGGCCATTTGGGAAAACTTTAGATCTGAAAAGTTGGCCTACAGAGAGATAGAGAGGGCATTTTAGGCAGAGGGGAAAGGCATGAACAAGGGAATAGGAGTTTGAAAAGATTAGGTATATTTAGAGGACAGTTCATTCATTTAACAAATATTTGTTGAACCCTTGCAGTGTTTTTGTGCTGGACACACATGGTAAATGAAATAGGCAGTCTGCCTTCAAGATGCTAGTGGGGCAATAGATTTATTTGCATGTTTGCTACCATACAACTAACACAAATAAAGTGGGGAGCATGCTATGAAGGAAAAGAATAGAAGTCTATGAAAGAGAATTAGACGTGCACCCCAAGATGAAGGTTTCAAGGTGGGTAAAGAGGACGGTGCATTTGAGGGACTAAAAGATAGGTGGTGTTACTGGACCGTGGTGAGTGGACACGTTTGACTGGGAATGATGTGTGTAGGCTGAAGCCAGGCTATGGAAGGCCAGGCTATCTCTGGTGTGTTTCTGTATTCCAACCTGAGGGCTTCCTGGAGAGAGAGGGAAGTAGGGAGAAAGACTGAAGGTCTCTCAAACATCTTGTGACTCCTGTCCCTGTTTGCAGCCAGGTGATGGGGCGGTTGCGGTGGATGAGCCACAGGATATCAAGAAGCTGAAGGTGGGTGCCATGTGGAGTCTGCCCAGTGAGGACACTGTGGGGTCTCAGAGAAAGCCACAGACTCAGGGCTCTGTGGCCCTGATGCTGGGGATCTTGGACTGGGTTCAGGCCTGGGAAGTTCCTGGGAGTGCTGCCAGGCTGAGCCATGGAAGGCTGGCTCCTTTGCCAGGGACTCTCAATCCCAGGTGGCCGTGGAGGAGGTGCTAGTTTGGGAGCTAGAATGTCACTGTGCACTTTGCTACTAGCTCACTGTGTGATCTGGGGCCACAGATTCTGCATCTGTAAATGACTGGAGTAGATGAACTCAGGCCCTACTCTACAACCCCGACATGCCATGATTGATCAAAAGCCTAATTACCTGTGGCTTTGAATGCCCCAAACTAAGAGAATTGTCAGAGGGGCACTGGGGCAGGGGAGTCTGAGGTTTGTGGAAAACTGTCTTAGCTGCCTTTGGCCAATGGGGGAAGAAGTATGGGGACCATAGAGAGGAGAGGCTGGGCCTGTATGAAATCTCTCCCATCGGAAGAAAATCCCTAGGCCTGTTGTAAAGTACAGTACTGCGTTACCACAGCCACTAGATGGCAGAAGAGTTCAGAGTCAGAGGAATGGGGAAGGTGAACGTAGGGGGGGTGTGGAGGGACTGAGCAAGCGTTTGTCTGTTCTTGGATGCTCCCTTGTAAATCCGTGTGTGTCGTTATGGATAAGTGTGTGTCGCATCTGTGTGTCTGCACCTATAGCTGTATATGTGTGTGCATTTGTGGGTGCCTGTGAAGGTTCTTGAGCACAAGGATAGGAAAAAAAATCTGGAATGGGAATCAAGCCCTGGGTGCCAGTCTTGAATCTTTTCATTGTCACCCCTCATGAACTCATAGTTTTCATTTCCTTTCCTGTAGAAGGGGGTCACAGTCTTTCTTATCTCTGGGAGTGGGGCAGTAATAAAGCACCACGATGCTGTTCGTGGACTGCGAAGGGCTGTACCCACAAGCAGGGGGTCTGCTGTGTGGTGTGTGGGTGAGTGTGTGCTTCTATGGAGTGTACTTGGGGGGATGGACAAGCTCTTGGCAATGTGGTGTCCTCAGTACACATTGCTGCTCCCTGTTGAGACTTTAGGGAATTACTCAGTGTGTAGAATTAGTCTGTCATGGGAGAGTTGAGGGAAGGCTGAGAAGAAAGTAGTGTAACTCTCCTGGTTGAGGTGAAGAACAAGGGGAGGCCAGGAAAAGGCTCCTGTGCTTTCATGCTGATCTTTCTGGGAGGGATGCAGGGTTAAGTGAGGCTCTCCCCTGGCTCGGGCAGGGCCCACTGAGGCCTGTGCTGCTCTCTCCTGCTCAGCTCCCGTCCGTGCTGACCCGAGGGAGCAGCTCAGCCTCTCTGCACAACAGCACCATCCGCAGCACCATGTACTGGCTCATGCTCCACAGCCTGGACCCTCTGAGGGAAGGTAAGCGAGGCCTCCCCAGACCTGTGTGGTCTCCCTGGCCAGTCCTTCCCTCCTGCAGCTGGGACCTATAAGACTGAGGCAGTGGGTGGGGTGAGGGCGGGAGCGGGAAGAGAGAGTTAGCAGAGGAGAGTGGGTGATCATCAGTCTGGGAGACGAGGTAGAGGCAAAGACACCGAACTCACTAGGACAGGAGAGGGTCCCAAGGAGCCAAGGCCCTTAGGTGTCCACATCCCACTACTTCCCTGCCTCCTTGTCCTCACCTGTAAAATGAGGAGGTTCAGCTGTAGTTACTGAGGCCGTGAAGCCTCATGCCCTGTACTGGTCTATGTTGGGGCTGCCCTCAGCATCTTCCCTGCGCAGCCCACCGCCCACGAGTTGGTGCCTGTGCCCCAGAGTCTCCTGCCAGGCAGCTTGGCTCAGGCTGAGTGACAGGGTCACTTCCAGGGGAACCTGCTAGGTGCCATAAGCTCTGTATTTAGCTCTGGTGTCCTAAGAAGACTGCTAACCCTTCCCCCAGCCAGGAACCCCAGAGGGCATCCTGGGAGCTGCCAGGACCAGTTTTGGGGGTGGTGAGAGTCCAAAGTGCAGTGGGGGCTAATGTCCAACTTGACAAATGATGGGGACAGCTGAGATTCTCACCATCCATCTTATCAGCTCTTGCCTTCTGGCCTCCCTCTCCAAAGAGCTGTGCCAACATGATTCTCAGGCCCCCAAAGGCACCTGCTCTCCTTGAGCCCCTCCAACTCTGGGGTTCTGGTGCAGAACTGGGAGCCCAGGCAGGAGCCCCATCAAGGGAAGGTTGGCTTTTGGGCAGAAGCCAAGGGGTTGGAGTTGCAGTTGGGCAGTAGGGCATAGGACTGAACTGTGTGTGACACTAGAGATTGACCCTTGAGCTCCAGGGAGCACCCTGACTGAGCTTTCTGGTTAAGGGATAAATTTGGGGGACTTAGAATTTCCTCAGGCCCTTAAGTATCTTCTTCAGACACAATATTGGGATTTTAGGTGTTTGAAACAAGTATATTGTACTGTGAAAAGCAGAGTCAAAGACAAGGTGATCAAACCTTCCTTAGAAAATCCTCGAGGTGAGCCAAGGCAGACACAGAGGCCACCCACAAGCATCAGCTCCAGAATCAGTCCTGCTGGGGTTCTGAGAGCGCAGCCTGCAGCGACTGGCAGCCATGTGTTACCTGTGCCAGTGTCATGAAGAAAGCTGTGTCTCTGGGTTATGTTTGACCTCTCCTCCAGGAGTCACTGACTTTGGCAAAGTCTGAAAGATAAAGACTTCTCCTCAGAGGGACCACTGGGCTCCTTGCCTGGGCCACTTTCACGGCCAATAGCCGCCAGCTGGCCTGCTTGTCCTAATGGGATTATGTGATGGCCAGGCCAGGCCGAGGTCAGAAGAGATTGATTCTAAGGAGATGATCCTCAGTGCTGAGAGTTGAGAGGCCTGTGAGGAAATGAGCTCTGGGGGAGCCAGCAACCCTCATCTCAGGGAAGACAGTCCTGCGTGGTCCATTGTGTGCATATGTGGCATGGAGTCGCCCTCACTGTGAATGATTGCTGACACGCTCTGGGGTACAGTCCTGCTCAGAGAAGCCAACCCTGATCCTTCACCCTGAGATTCCATCCAGGAGGGGGTGGGACCTCACAGGGCTGTGATGAAGGCTTTTGTTCTCAAGACTTTCCAGATACATGTTTGTGTTTCCATATGTTGTTTCCAAATGTCTGTCCAGAGGGTTCCACTCTTTCAGGTATTCCACTCTTCCATAGAGCTGCTCTGTGGTCTGAACTCTCACCCTGTGAAGGGGCTCTGCCTCTTCAGGATCCAATGATCCCACGCCTCTTCTGGTGATTTTTACTTGGACCTGTGGGGGGCTGGAGAGGAAGACAGAGAAACAGAGAGGCCCTGTTGCTAACCTGCTTTCCTTGGTGGCATGAGAAGTGAGAGGGTAGGGTGTGTGATGAGGAATGAAAGGGAAAGAGGGGAACTTGATTTTCTTGCCAGTTCCTCCAGCTAACAGCAGATATTCTCAGAGCCAGAACTGGAACAGGGGAGCCCTTCTTTGATGATAGCTACACATTGTTCAACAGAAGATGACGGTGTTTGATCACTACCACGGGGGTGCTGGACTTTTTTGGATGAAAGAGGCAGTGGAGTGCCTGCTTCCTGACATTTCAGTCCTAGGACACTTCGAGGGACAACACATGCCAGAACGGTGGCTCTGCAGGATGGAGCCTGTTGCCACAGGCAGCTACAGCTGAACCTACTCCGAGAGTTCAGGAGGCAGGTTGAGAGGAGGAAATTCCGACCTATTTATGTTTCCTGCCCATCCTGGACCCAGGCAGAGTTTGATCCACCCAGTTCCCCAGATTGCACCTGCTCAGCCTGTCTGGATTATGGACCAGAGGACCTTCAGGGTCGAACCCAAACCCTTCAGAATGTGGGGCCTCATCACTGCAAACTTGGTGGGACAGCTGCTCTCAACTACTGTTGTCAGTTCGTCATTATTGTCATAGCTAAAACAGATGTAGTTTTTTCCAGGTGCCAGGCACTCTTTTAATAGGCAAGTTCATGTATCAGTTCATTTATTCCTTCAACAACTCTGTAAGATTTTACAGATGAAGAATCTGAGGTACAGAGAGGTTAAGGAATCACCCAGCTCGGCCCATGGCTAGCAAGTGGCAGAGCTAGGATTTAGATCCAGGCTGTCTGGTTCCAGAGTCTGACCTAAGATGATAATATTTTACTTGCAGCAATTAAAATATTTTTATTTATGTTGTCTCATGGATCCCCGCATCATTGCTTTGTGTATATCATGGTGTTGCCTTTTTAGAGAAGGGTCACTGAAGCTTAGAGAGGGACACAGGCTTTCCAAGGTCACCCAGTGTTCATAGCAGAGCCAGCATGGGATTCAAAACAGACTCCGTGGCACCACTTTGTTCTATCATTTCTACCATTATCCTCACCCTGCCATACTACACTGCTGTGAGGAGGACCCTGCACCTCGGTCTCTGTGCCTCCCTCCTGAAACACATGCAAAGCACTTTGCATGTTTCCTAGAACATAGTTGCATTGAAAGAGTTGCCCTCCCCATTTTTCTTGCCTGGAAACCAGGGCAGCGCCATTCTGGGCACAGTATTCTGTGGGCCTCCAGGAAAGCATGTGCACAGGGATCTGGAATGGGCCTCTGGGTGGGTTCCAGGTGTCTGGAGTCAAAGAGAATGTGGCAGGGAGCTTGGTGGGCAGCTGCAGCCCCTTTCCTACTGAGAGGGGAGGCTCATGAGCATGGCCACCCCATGGTGCCCCTGGAGTTATGGCAAAGCTTCTAGTAGATTTATGGAAAGTAAGCTGTTGCCCCGGCTGGTGTCGTTCAGTGGTTGAGCACTGTCCTGTGCCCTGAAGGGTAGCAGGTTCGATTCCCAGTCCAGGGCACGTACCTGGGTTGCAGGTTTGATCCCTGGCCCCCTTGTAAGGAGTGCGAGGGGGGTGCATGTGGAAGGCAACCAATAGATGTATCTCTCTCATATTGATGTCTCTCTCCCCCCTCACTTTCCTACTTCCTCCCTTCCAATCTCTAAAAATCAATGGATTTTAACAAAAATTAAAAATTAAAAAAAAAAATTTTTAAAAATCAGTGGGGATTTAAAAAAAAGAAGAAGAAAGTAGGCTGCAAAGGCCCTTACACATAATCCAGTCCAAGGATGGCAAAAACAAATCCCCGCCATTATTTCTCCACTCCTCGCCCATTGCGGAACCCCCAGCAATCATGGCACTCTCCTATCAAGCTCTGATGCGGATTCTCCTCAATTTCACACTCAAGCCACCATCACTTGGCCTTACAAAGGAAATAAATCCTATTTGTTATTTTACCAGAAAGGAAATAGGCCTAGGCAGGGGAAGTGACTTGCCCACGGTCACAGCCAGTTGGTGACAGTGCAGGGAATGTAAGACTAAAGTTTGGGAACTGGGCACCATGACAAGCCTGGTAGGACTAGAATCCAGACATCATAACTCCCAGGCCAGCCTCTTCCCACGCACTCCAGCTGCTCTGGCTGCTGGCCAGTCAGGGTGTGGCGGGGATACTGTGGTCCCAGATGTGTTCCCCTTTTCATTCGCAGCCAGTTCCTCCAAGAACAAGGACAAAGAGAGCTTGAATCAGGAGGCTAAAGCCAAGCCTCAGGCCAAAGCAGAGAGCAAATCAGAAGGTGAGAGGATGGTGAGACCAGTGGGTTTTCTCCTGCCACCTTCCTCCCTCCTGTCCGTCAGGCTGAGGCCAGCCTCTTGGCGTCTCTGAGTCAGTCAGCTGAAGTGATGATCTGGTGCTGCTCTGAACTTTGCTGTCCTCCGGGTTCCGCCTTCCCGAGGCAGTCCTGTGCAGCTCCCTCTGTACTCTCCTTAGATGGGGTAGGCAAGGCCAGGCCAAAGATTGTTGAACTCCCACCTCTTTTTTTTGCTAAATCCTCTCCCACATTAGACTCTGTTGAACTCTATTTCTTCTTCCTGCCACTTTTATACAAGGATGATTCTGCTAGGGATTGGTCTGAGATCAGCAACCCCAGTGAGGAAAGGCAACCATGGAGCCTGGTGACACAGAAGTCCAGCATCTGTGTGGCAGCTGGGACAAGGAGAGTGAGACAGCTACTGTCCTGTGGGCTCTGTAGAGCACACCAGGCCTATCTGTTGTACCCAGTAACCCTCGGAGGGAAGCAGAGCAACAGTCATTGTTCCTATTCTATAGACAAGGGAGGCTCAGAGAGGTCAAGTGACTTGTCCCAAGCTGCACAGCGAACAAGTGAAACAGCCTGTGCCTAAACCCAACTCTCCAGGCTTTTCAAGACTTCCTAGCTGCTGTCTTTGAAATCATTAGGGTCCTCTCTGCGCAATCAGTGGGGGAAAGGCCAGACCCTTAGGGCTGGGGTTTTGCCCTCTCTCTGCTCCAGTTGCCCACACTGGCCAGGACAGAAAAGTCTGTGAATAAGGGGGGAGCAAGGACAGCCGTTCCCCAGCTGTACCTTCATCTGTGCGCATCTTGGTGGACAGGACAGTAACAGTTCACATCACATCGTTTTACTTTTCCTATCAGCCAGAAATTCCCCTTCGGAGACCCTGAAGTGGACAAGTCCAATAGCCCTGTAGCCACTCACATCAGTCTCTGCCAGCTGCCCTCAAAATCTGGCTCTCTTCTGACCTATCCCATGTTTATCCTTTAAAGAGGAGGAGCCAGCCAAGCTCCCTGCGGTCATGGTCACACCAGCCCCTGCTCCAGACGTCAAGGGAGATCAGGAGGAGGATCCTGGCTGTCAGGTAGGCACAAGCCTCTTCCAGGTAGAGGGATTTGAGAGGCCCAGGGATGGACTTGCTGACCAAAAGTCCTTCCTCCTTCAAGGTCTGAAATGCTATTTGAGGTTCATTCCTCTGGGGTAAGCACTGCAAGATCAGATACCTCACGGGTCCAGTCAATTCACCCTAACACCTTAGTGTGAGATAATATATAGGAGAATGTGTTGCAAGTGTCACATGCTGTGAAAACATAAAGAATAACTATTAGGGGTCTGTCAGCAGCCAGGGGACAATGAGACCAGTCAGCTCGAAATGCCAAGGGGAGGGTTGCTGGGTAAAGGCCTTGAAACTTCCAAGGCATCTCGGCCTTGTCCGCAGGGCTTCCTGATACTGCTGCTGTCCTTCCAGCCTCACAGGCCCTTCCACCATGCTACGGCCACACTGGCTTCTCCGTGCTTTTCTACCTCCACGCCACGGCCCACCTGGTTTCCTCCCTGGATGCCTTTTCCCTCCCTCTTCAAATATCTGAATCTCCCTTCAGGCCAGTGCAAATGCCTCCTTTGTCATAAGGCTTCCTTGATCCCCTCAATCTGAATGCGTATGGTACATTGTTCCTCTTCCAGGGCTCTTTTTTTTTTTTTTTTAAATCCTTACCCGAGGATATTTTTTCCATTGCTTTATCAGAGATACTACTGGAAGGGAGAGAGAAAGAGAGAAACATTGACTTGAGAGAGACACATCAATTGGTTGCCTCCTTTGCCTCAACTGGGGCTGGGGATGAGACTGCAACCAAGGTACATGGTCTTGGCTGGGATTGAACCGGGAACCCTTCAGTCCATGGGCCAACACTCTAACCTCTTATCAAACTGGCCAGCGCTCTCCCAGGGCTCTTAACACTGCCTTCCTTGTACTCTATGAGCCTCTTAGTTCCCCTGCTAGGTGGTGAGGTTCCTGAAGGTAGGGTCCAGTTCTGAGTCACCTGTTTTCCCTACAGAGAGAAACTCAGGGCACACAGCTGTCTGTGCTCAAAAAGGGTTGAGTGACTGGCAATAAATTAATATTCAAGTTGCAAGATTCATTGCTGTTTATTTTTTTAATTTGACACCCAGAAACACTGTTATAGCTCATCCTTAAGCCAGCAATTTTGGGTTCAGTGTTTAAGACATCTGCATGGTGTCATGAGTGTCCTGAGTAGTCCCATGAGAGCCAGCTCAACTAAAAGGGGTTAAGAGGAACCCCAGGGCAGGAAGTGAAGCTTGGTGTCACCAGGAGCTGGACCTAGGCCTGAGAAGGCATCTGTGACCCTGGTGGAGTCTCCGTGTCTGGCTCTCTCTCACATTCCCTTCTCTATGTGCATACTCTATCACTCAGCCTCTCCTGGCAGTCTGGCTCCATTTGCTTCCTTATTAGCTCATACAACCTAAACTACTACTGTAGTTCTCCAGTCTTCAGGTGATCAACCAGTGACTGGCTCCTAGTCACAGAAGAGAGAAAATTTGGTCAAACCAGGTCATGGGGTAGAGATCCAGCCTGTGTCTGATCAGCTGTGTCAGGGAGAGGTGGGGTGCTTTGACTTTAACAAGGAAGAAGGGACTATTAGAGTTGACAGTTTTTAGGAAAGGGTACAGGATGGGCAAACACTCCCATACCTATCGATTTAAATGACTTGTCATTTTCTCCAGGAAACCTTTCCTGATGGGGCTGGGGAGGGAGGGCAGGAATTATTTCAGACTAAAATCTCACTCTTCATTCCCAATTCAAAGTAAATACTAACATTTGACTTCATCAGGGATTCTTAACTCTGGTTGCATATCAGAATAATTTGGGGAAGCTTTAAAGTCTCCAGGTGACTTTAATATGCAGCCGAGTTGAGAATCACTGAGCATCCCTTGGGGGTTGGCTGTGTCATGAAATTTGTTAAAGAAAACATACTCCATGAGCATACAGCCCAGGCCATTTGTTTAAGGGATTTGACCAGCATGTTATAGGTTAGTTGAAACCTTACTAGGAGGAATCTCAGAATCCATGGCTTTAGAGTGCATGGAGTCAGTCCATTGTTCCCAAACACTGGTCTGTAGATGGACCTATTGGGAGCACTTGTGAGCATGTTAAAATAGATTCCTGGCTTACAACCCCAGAGACTGTAATTCAGTTGGTTCAGGTGGGGTAAGGAAATGTGTATTTCTTTTTTTTAAAGATTTTTTAATTGAGTTTTAGAGAGAGAGGAAAGAAGAGGGAGAGAGAGAGAAACATCGATGTGAGAGCAAAAGATCAGCTGCCTCCTGCATGCCCTCTACCAGGGATCAAGCCCACTACCTGGGCATGTACCCTGATGGGAATCAAATTGGCAACCTTTTGGTGCATGGACGACACCCAACCAACTGAGCCACACTGGCCAGGGCGGAAATGTGCGCTTCTAATAAGCTTCCTGCACTGTGAGGTTTGGGAACCAAAGATCTCATTTGGCCCTGACATTGCAAAACAGGGTAGGTTGGTGGTTAAGAGACCAAGAGTTGAACTACCCATATTCAAATCCCAGCTTCATCACAAACTGTGTGACCCATGGGCAAGTTATTTAACTGCTCTGTACCCTGGTTTCTCCATCGGTCAGATGGGTTTAATCCTATCTATATCGTAAATTAGTTTACATTGTAACTGCTAGCTATTATTGTTATACCGCTTCGCATAGTGTCTGGCACATAAAAACCCTCAATAAATAGGTATTATCATCATTTTATACATATGAGGTAATATAACAGTTTAGGATTTTAGTGGACACAGCAATGTGATGTAACCACCACAAGATCATGCAACATTAATGGAAGCATAACGCCTAAGACAAAGGCGTTGATAACCCTATTAAACTCTGTGGTGTTCTGTGTTCAGTTTCAGAAGCCTCCTCATGGGATACAAGTTGTGTAGAATGAGTTTGCCAAGATGGGGATGAGGCTCTAGGCCGTTACATGGGGGAGTGACAGGAGGACCTGGGTGCCTTTAACGCAGAGAAGAGAACTGTCTCGTGGAAGAGTGATTCTCTTTGTTCTATGCATCTCCGAAGAGTAAACCTTTACCCAGAGGGTAGCTCTTTGGTATTAATATGGACTTCAAACCAATCAGAGTTGCCAAAGATGATAGAAGCTGCATTAGGTGGTGAGTTTTCCATCCCTGGACATGATCAAATAAAGACTAAACCACCAGTAGGTAGGAATGTTACGAAGGGAATTTTGCTGAGTAATTGCACTAGTTTTCTCCTTATACTCGAGTTTTTAGTTACATTCTGAGAAAACAGCAGCAAAGATAATAGGAAGAAACTGGGAAGGAAAACAAGCAGAGAAGTTATCACGTTAATGTTGGCTTTGGATTGCAGGAAGGATACGCGGCTGGAGCCGAGGGCACAGGTGAAATGACAGGCGAAGCTCCCGGTGAAGGCGACGATGGACAGCAGAGTGGAGGTGAAACTTGGCTAGAAGGTGAAGGTGAACTCCAAGCAGAAGGGAAAGGAGACAATGAAGGTGACGGTGAAGTCCAAGCAGAGGGAGATGATGGTGAAATGAAAGGCGATGACCCCGAAGAGCGGGGACTTAATGCTGGAGATCAAGGTGACGCCACAAGTGAGGAGGAAGGTGCTGATGGCGAAGGGGGAGGTGATGGAGGCGATGGTGCGCGTGACGGGCAGAATAGTGAGGCCCACGCGGAAATGAAAGGAAACGATGAAGGCAAAGGTGAACTCCAGACAGGGGAAGGTGGCGAAGTGGAAGGTGACGAAGGTGAAACCAAAGAGCAGGGATTCAGTGCTGGAGATCAAGGTGACGCCAAAAGTGATGAGAAAGGTGCAGATGGTGAAGGGGGAGGTGATGGAGGTGACAGTGGAGATGAGGAAGAGGACGAGGAGGAGGAGGAGGAGGAGGAGGAGGAAGAGGAAGGAAATGAGGAGCCTTTGTCCCTGGAGTGGCCCGAGACCCGGCAGAAGCAGACCGTTTACCTCTTCCTCCTGCCCATCCTGCTCCCGCTGTGGCTGACGGTGCCCGACGTCCGGAGGCTGGTGAGTTTGCCCAGCCATTCCCCAGGCTGCCTGTCCCCGGGGAGGCTGTGGGGTCCCTAGGCATCCCGCCCAAGAGGAGCGACAGGACAGGGCCAACCAGCTTGGCAGGGCTCAACCACAGAGAGGATCTGGGTTGGAATTTGCAGCTCTGGGGGGGACCATGCACCGAGGGGGACACACCGATGGGCTTGCGAGGCCCTAGAATGTGCTTATTTCCACCACTGTAAGCAACGTGAACTAGTCCCTCCTTGACTCCTGTTTCAGTGTCTTGATTTTAACATAGGAACGATGCCACTACACCCCTCCACACCTCACAGGGTTACTGGGAAACCCCAGGGTGGTAATGCTACTTCCTCCCAGCTTCCTATTTGCAGGGAGCGACCTGACTAGCACACCCGCCCAACGGCAGTCCATTTCTGTCTCTGGGTCTGGAGAGGAGTAGGGCAGAGAGGCTGCAGAAGCCCAGTCAGATACCTAGATTGGCCTGGTTCCTGGGCAAGCACCTCTCTCTTCTGTTGGTGACTGCTGAACACCCTACTGGCTGGACTCCCCTGTGGGCCACCAACCCCATCCTTTCCCAGCCGTCTCAAGGTCCTCACTGGAAACAGATTTCAGCTCTCACATCTCTAGATTCTCCCCACCACCCCTCCGGCAGATCTTGTCACTGATTCTGGGGCTCCCTCAGAAGGGCCAAAGACCTTCAGCCTCTGCAACTTACTTCTTTTTTCAAACAGGAGTCTAGGAGGTTTTTTGTTGTCACCTTCCTGGGGTCCATCATGTGGATCGCCATGTTCTCATACCTCATGGTGTGGTGGGCTCACCAGGTGAGTGAACGGCAGGAACTAGACCCTGCATTGGCAGGTCCAAAGCACACTTTTTCCCTTCAGGGTAAATTTCTAGTACCTCGGGAATGGTGTGGATCACGTGCATTTGTACAGTTTCTGCATTGTTTGTAAAGGCAGACTTTTTATCCCAGCGAACGTGGCGCTTTTCAGGTGTGGCCCTTCTGTCTTACGCTCACATTGTAGTGTGACGTGGAAGGCCCCTCACAATCTGCTCGTCACCCTGTTCCCTGCCTTCTGTCATGCATCTCCCACTCCTCTCCACCTGGGGAATCAAGCACACTCCTGAAAGCAAGCTCAGTTTGGCCCCCTCTCTGGCACTGTAATCGGTCTTCCTCCGAGTGCCCATGACTTTCTGTTCCGCCTGGAACACTGCACTTAGCCCAGAGCTGTAATCGTTGTTTACAAGCTCTTCTCCTTCACTAGGTGGAGAGTAGGTCAGTGTTGTACTGCTCATACTTTTCTCCCTAGCCACTTGGTTTCTGGCACACAGCAGGTGTCCATGGCTCTGGAAATGGAAATGTGACATGAACATTTGGAGGGGCAGTTCTTTTAGAAGTAGAGGTGCTGTTTAAATGACAGTGACAGGTGGTATCATAGATGGACTTTTAGTCCAAGTTAGACAAGAGCAGTCCTTCCCTGAAGCCTTGAGCAGGGGCCCCATTCTCTCTCTACGGCCCATCACCCTGCCTCACTCAGGCCAAGGGAGTGTGCTGAGCTCCATGGGAAGTGCTGGGTTTGCACAAAGTAGTATGTTGTTGGTGTTTTGAAGAGCCTCAGATTTTCCACCTGCTGTTGCCATGGTTTCTTATTACTGTTACTGTTTACCAGGTTGGTGAAACAATAGGGATCTCTGAAGAGATTATGGGTTTGACGATCCTAGCAGCAGGCACATCAATTCCTGACCTCATCACGAGTGTGATTGTTGCTCGGAAAGGCCTGGGAGACATGGCCGTGTCAAGCTCTGTGGGCAGTAACATATTTGATATCACCGTGGGGTGAGTGGCAAAGTTGCTTTCTAAGGCATATTAAGACTGGAAAACCTTGTGTTGGTTTTGTTCACTGGTTTTCTGCTTCATTCATTATACATGGAATAAAAGGGCATTTATATTAGTTTCTGTAAGGCAACAAAGTATCCTCCCTTCATTCATCGCAGCCAGATGAGGTAATAGAACTAAAATGTGGCCTGAAATGTGACTGACTGGAATTTATAGATGAATTGAAAAATGAAGTCCATTAAATTCCATTACCAAACACCATCAAATGCTCTGCTGGCTGACCTGCAAGGTGGTGGAGGTGGGGTTGGGACAATGACTCAGTCACTTCCTGATATTCCTGCTCCTTTGCATTTGGGTTCCTGCCAGCTCTAAAAGCATTTTGTATAAACAAGCAAATGCCGCATCCTCCTGTACCCATTCCCTTACTCACCTGGTCTATTTGCATTTCCCCAGTCATGTCCTGGACTCGAGTGGTGGCTTTGGTTTCGTTAATTTGAATTTACTTCTGTGTATATAGGGGTGTGGCAGGGAAAGGGCGTAAGAGAGTCCTCACCCCTAAAGAATTTAAAGAAATGTTATCCTGGGCTGGGCCTTATGGTAAAAATTTAGAGATTACAGTCACATATCAACAGATCTGGGTTAGTCATATGGAAGTCATTTAGTATGAAGAAAAAACACTCAGACCCAGAAAACTTTGGTTATTAGCTGTGAGTCCTAGGGCATGTAATTTAATTTCCCAGAACCTTAGTATCCTCATCTGTGAAATGGGGCTAATGTTTTCTGCTCTGCGTAATAGATTTGTGTGTGTGTGGAAAAACTAGTGCTTTGTAAATTGTAGAACGCAGTATATGGGATGATTATAAACATGAAAAATACTCACATTGTTTCTTCAATCTTGCAGCCTGCCTGTCCCCTGGTTGCTTTTCTCTCTTATCAATGGACTGCAGCCTGTTCCAGTCAGCAGCAATGGCTTGTTTTGTGCAATTGTTCTGCTTTTTCTCATGCTCCTGTTTGTGATCTCTTCAATTGCTTCATGCAAATGGAGAATGAACAAGATCCTGGGCTTCACAATGTTTCTCCTTTACTTTGTATTCCTGATAATCAGTGTGATGTTAGAAGATCGTATCATATTCTGTCCTGTATCTATCTGAGTCAGTCACTGTTGCCCAAAATGGACATGGATCAGAAAACCATGTTGGAAGTTATTGTACCTCTTGCTACATTAATGAATGAGCATGATCCAGGAGAGTGAACTGAGAGGCTGAGAGCCTCTGATGTGAATGTGATACAGGAGTGAAGGTTATCGCTGGAAACACCTGCAGCTCACTGTGGATTAAGAATCTCACCTTTGGCTGGGTGGAGTTCCTACCCGACTGATACAGACAGCTGTCACATGGAGACCAGTAGAAGGAACCCTGGAGTCAGAGGGATTTTTAACATGAGATAATTGGAGTGAGGGTTGGGGCAGGCACAATAAAGACAAGCTCCCATGCTCACAATTCCTTGATCATTCAAGGGCTGCTGGTCCAAGAAATGCAGATGTGGTCTGTGTCTGACCCTCCTGGCTCCTACCCCAAGCATATGCTGCAATTTGCTGTCTCCTCTTTTTCTGTTCAAGACATGAGGTTCTATCAGGTTTGTAATCATTACTGGTTCAGTTACTGGTGAGTTTAAGGAGCTAAGGCTATAGGAAAAAATTAAGTATAATAGGAATCAATTATCATTAGTAAAAGGTGTACCAGTATTTTATAGCTTAAAAGGGTTACATTAGCTCTTATTGCATTTCTGAAAGAGTGAAATTAAAATAAGTAACCCAAGAAATTAAAATTTGTAATTTGTCCTTGAAGTGGAAGGCATGGATATTAGGGAAGGAAAACTACTCTGAAGGCTATTTAAAAATATGTACTTATTAGAAAATCCAAGTTAGTGTTGTCTCCATCAAGTGGTTACCTTGAAGGATTAGACCTTTAACACAGCTGTACCGGCTCCGCCCCTCCAGCATATTCTCACCCAACAGTGACAGCTGCTCCTAGTGAGTGAGAAGGTAGAGTTCAAAGTCAGTAGAGCCAAGCCAGGTTTATAAAGAAAGAGATCCAGTGGGGCAATGCCACTTTTGTATGTTAACCTAGATAGGATTATAAAGCAAGAAGATTGATGTCTTGTGTGGTTTACAAATGGATGTTAAGGCAATTACAAAGGAGAAACCCCAGAAATGCTTAGCACAATGGCAACACGGTGAGAAAAAAAGTATTTCCACTTCCAAGGTAGCTAGTGTAAAAGACACTTGTTTTTAAAAATTGTGTGGTTATTTAAACATTTCATGTGGAATTTGAAGTGCTTTATATTAAACACCACTGCTTACCTTTTACTAGCATCAAGTTAAGGGACACATTAGAAATGAAACAGTTCTATGTCCCTGGCTTCAGAGCAAAGGGAACTGAGGTGACTATGGATTATGATAGTAAATACAGCTTTATTTACAAACATGAGGATTCACTGAAGACTAGAAGACAGCAGGACAGATGTGATAAGAAAAAAAATTAAACATTTTGGTGCTGAAGGGCTGCGTTCAAAGGATTGGTGAATTTAATGAATGGCCTCACTACCCCAGGATTCATATTCTTTGGAAATGATTTTTATTTTTATTCAATTTCAATGAATTGTGAGTCCCAATGGTATTTAATTTTACAAACATGGATGGGTTCATCTATATCTTTAGGTCACTTGGTCAGAATGCTCAAGAGAAGACTGATGAATATGGAATCATGTTCCAATGCCATATTCTGAAATTAGTTATCCTCATTCCTGATGCTGCTGCACAGCCCAGTCTCCATATGCTGTGGCCTGAGAATAGGAGAGAACAGTGCATGTGGAGGGAGAGCCCAATGCTCACTCTGGGTGCCACCCTGGTTTCTGCCAGCTCCAGCTAGCCTCAGGGATTCACCTCCTCCCTGACGGCCCGGGATCTGGCGCTGTTCCCCAGAATGACTGAGTGGGGAGTGATGGACAGCGAGACATTCTGTAATGATAAAGCACTGGAGAGCCGCTTCATGATTAAAATCAACTCTAACCATCTAAGGACCTTTTCCTGATTGGTGTGCTAAATTTCTGGCATTTCTCTTTGCCTAGAAAGGAAGTTCTGATCACTTTACATTATGACAGAAAGGGTCAAGGACATGAAATGAAAGCTGGGTCTTGATAGATGAGTAGGAATTCAAGGGGAAAGGGAGAAAAATTTCAGGAAGATGGAAAACATGTAACTTCTAAATGATGTGTTATGCTGAGAAATTAAAATTTTTGTCATACATTTACAGATCTAAAATTTATTAAAATTGTGCTGTTTTAGAGATAAAGTACCATCTTAAAATGCCAAGAAAATGGTGAGATGGTCCTCTCATTTGTCAGGCAAAATGATCAGTATTCTAGATCATTCATTCAGCCTGGAAAGTCTGAACTGTACCCACACTGGTGTCTGAATTGGAAGACTGGTTGAACAGATGACTTCTCCTTCATCCCCCATGAGGTTCCATTTGCTTCATGGATTTGGGCCAAATTTCTAAATATGTGAAACTCTTCCAAATTTAATGGGTTAAAATTCTATATAGTACCAGAAAAAAGGGCTACATTCCAAACTTATGAAAATTGGTATATGTTTAAATGGTTACTATACATTGTGATTATAGCCTATAATTTGATAGATACATTATTACCATTTACTTAAAAGATTGAGCTCCAAAGGCAGCCAGAATTGGAATGTAATATTCTGGGCAAAGCCTGGTAGAACAGGTTGACCTTATGTGCCAAGAATATCCTTGGTTCTGACCCTTTTTTTGTGGGGAGATCCCCCTGCAGGTGGGACTGGTCTCTAGGAAAGGTACAAAGAGAGAGCTCATGATCAGGCTGTCTACCCCTGGGGGGGGGGTCACTAGAGCCAGCAGGACACCCTGGCCTACGGCTGCCCACACACCAAAGGCACTGCTTCTGTTCTTCAGGCCCTTCCCTGCGATGAGCAGGTAAAACCTGGATAATTTCATTTACTTATGGATAATTTATTTATGGTTAATTTCAATTTCATTTGTTTCAGTGGTTTATCACAGTACTATGTTTGAAAAGAAAATATTTAAATACAAAAGGAGGGAGCCATCCAAATGAACAGCAACTATGGAAAGGGCCACAGTAACTTTATCAGAAGAGTCTGGTACCATCTCAGAGAATAAGCCCTTGCACACAGACTTTTTGAATCAGAGACAGAAATTCCTATATTAATTTGTGCACTGTTAATTTTGTGAAGAAGAATTAAGCCATCAAATGTACTTACTTTGAGGCCAGAGGAAGTAGGTAACATGAGGGATAAAAAGTATGTATGAAGGAAAGTACTGAGGATATGAAGGTAAACTGGTATGCAGCTGCTAGAGAATTCAATTCTGAAATAAAACTCAGTCTTGTGTCTAAACAGAAAGGGCAGAGCATACGAACACTAGCACAAAGATGAGCCAAGGGCAGCCTGCTCTTTCCCTTCCTGCTCTGAGATAAAGTGCCTAAAAGTGCTTTCAATTTCTAGTGGGAGAAATAAAAATAAAGCTGGGTCATCACACATTACCATACAAATGGGTATTTTCTTACTGTATACTTACAAGGTATTTAGAAATACAACATAACAGCCTTCTATACACAGCAGGCTAGCACTTCCTAGTGGCCCTAAAATATGCTGGTGGTTTTAGGGCTTTAAAGCAAAAAAAACTCCAAACAATCATAAAAGACAAAAATCAGAATATGAATAGGCTGCAAAATTCCCTACCTGACAATAGGATGAAAAAGTTGAATATTAACATATGATATAAAATACAAATGTGTGACATTCAAAACACAATTGAAGGAAGTAGTAAACAAGTTATACTAGGGCACAGAATGATTTATTTTCAACTATTAAACATATAAACAAAACTAAGAGTAAGAAAATAAGAGACAGATAATGTAGGAAAGGGTATTTGTCAACTGGCTATGATTCTCTAATATGTATGGTCAACAGAGAAAAAATTGAAGGAAAGTATGTATGGAGTTATTTTAAAGGATCTATATTTTAACTTTGTTTTGAGCAGTGTTTACCACTTCTTATTCATGGTTCAGAGTTTTTTTTAACAACTAAATTTGTGCAAATAATATTCCTTGGGGATTAAAAGTAGGGGAAACAAAACCCAACCAAAAGCAGAAACAGCCTGGCTGGTGTGGCTCAGTGGCTGAGCATCAACCTATGAACCAGGAGGTCAGAGTTCAATTCCAGGTCAGGTCGCAGGCCCAGGTTGTGGGCTCGATCCCTGGGGGGTGAGGGGCAGTGGTGGTGCAGGAGGCAGCTGATTAATGATTCTCTCTCATCACTGATGTTTCTCTCTCCCTTTCCTTTCCTCTCACTGAAATCAATTTAAAAAACATATTAAAAATAAAAAAGACAGAAACAAAACTATATGTGTGGGGGGAGGAGATATAAATTACATACACTTTTCGAAATAAGTTTGAACCATGAAGAATAGCTTTTATCTAACCTTTTTTGGTCACATATTTGAAATCAATAAATTGTGATTCATATTGTGTTAAAGATAAGGTAAATGATAGTGAAAGCTGTTCTTATAAGGGGAAAAAACCAAACAACAACAACAAAAACCAGAATAGAACCCCAGAATCCTCGTTTTTTTTTTTTTAGTTTAGTTTTTTGTTTGTTTTGTTTTGTTTTGATCTTTATTGATTTCAGAGAGAGGAAGGGAGAGGGAGAGAGAGAGAGAGAAACATCAATGATCAGAGAGTCACTGATCGGCTGCCTCCTGCATGCCCCCTGCCGGGGATCGAGCCCGAAACCCAGGCATGTACCCTGACCAGGAATTAAACTGCCGTCTCCTGGATCCTAGGTCTACACTCAACTGCCCAGTCACGACAGGCCAGGCCAGAATCCTCTTTGGAGGGACATTTGTGGCCAATGTCAAAAGGTTTACCTATCATATGTATCTCACTAGACAACTTACACGTGATTTAGAAAACAAAAGATTCACTTAGAATGAGAAGCTGGATTTGAATAGTTAAAGATAAAATAGGAGTGGTATTTACAAAGGTGAGGCAGATACATGTGCATAGCACCAGGTTTTTCAAGTAAGCAAGTTCAGCCCCAAACTAACTGAACTAAAAATTTACATTTTTAAACTCTCCCCATTGTTTCCCAGAGTAGAAAGCTGTGAAATGTTTCAGCTTGGTGATATTCACTAGGCTATGAACTCCAAAGGTAGTTTTTCTGCAGCTGAACTGATTCTAAGTCCCAGGACTTCATGATATCTCCAGTCCAAATGTCCTGTCTCTACTGGCTTTACACACATAATTTGGGACCATCTGTTATTTTCTTTGAAATTGGCTAGAGAATTCCTTCCTTAATACACATATTGAAAATTATAAATAATGCTAACAGCCAAAGAATATTTTTGATCAGAAATTACCCAAAGAAAGTAATGTTAGAAATAATGAGACTAAAAATATTTTTTAGAGTCTACCCATGGTGCTTAAACATTCCATTTATTGTCCGATTTCTGGTATTTTGGATTTAGATTCCATAAACTTCAGATTCTGAAGGGTTACTGAAAAAGCCAAGCTCCTCAGTATGGGAAATTCTCTCTGGCTTTACTTTTAGAGAGTTATTACTTTTCTACTTTTGAAAAATTTTTTTGAATATTTATATGTATATATAATATTAACCAAATACTCCAGTAGGTCTTATTCCCGATAAATACAGTACAATTTGCATCATACCCAATATTTTGGTTATTAAGGTTAAAATCTGGGATAGAGTAAACTGTCTGATATGTTTCCCAACATAAATATTTGTGTAGAATATTAAAATTTAAATTGATATTTGGCTTTGTCAGCTATTTTCCTTGTGTACTGTATGTATCTATTAGAGATAGAGAAATTTTGGAATTGTGGTATGCTGAACCTGATTTTGCAGAAGCAGACTTGGAACCTCTGGGGCTCTCCTTCTATGAGACTCAATGAGTCAGTCTGGGCAGTGCACACCCTTGCCATGACTCACCCACTGCAGTCAGGCTTAGGAGTACTAACATGCAATTCTAGGACAACATGAACACTAGCACTGACACTTTGGAATCATTCCCCCAAGTAATAAAAAATAGATAGATAGATAGATACACATATAGAGATCTGCAGCTGTACTAATGATTTCAAATAGCAGACAAGGAAAATAAGCACTTAGTTGCTTGCTTCATAAGTTCAAGTTCGTTCATTTTAAGTTTGCTATATTAGTTTAAAAATTAAAAAAATATCAACTTACTATAAACAATTTAAAATATGTATAATACAACTTCCTGGTCAAAACATTTGACTAGTCTGTGAAAACAGGAGATGCTTTGACCCTACATTAGTTCAAGTTCCATACATGAGTTTTCAATCTGTCTCTTCTAAGAGAAACCATAAAATGGTTTTTTTACTTTATGGGAACTAATTTTGTTTAGGGATTTCCTCACCACAAAAATAATTGCTTGTTGCAAGGAAAGTAAAGGAAAAAAAGGAAATGAGAAACAAAGTGGCTCTCTCCTCATTTGTCACTATTCTCTTCTTAAAACATTCTGTACATAAGCTATATGGACATTCTGAACCATTTACAAATTTGTTTTGAAAAATTGAAGAAAAAAAGTTTACAGTCTAAAAGTGCTATTTTATACACTGACTATACAATACATATTGAAAGTATACACGCACACGCACATACACACATCTTAAAGATAAGGTTCTCCAAAGGTTTTTCGACATTCCATCACCCCAGTACTTGGCGGTCTATCACAGTTGTGTGTACTCTTGACTTGACTAGGTGTGAGACGATCATATGCCATCTTGTATTCTTTATCAAATACATCTAAAAAAATTCATACAGAAATAAAGGTATAAAGAAATTTATATTTGATGTTGACAACAACCAAGTTTTGTAATAGTACAGAACTGCAAAATTAAAGGCTAAGAAGGAATCTTGAGGTCTTTTGTGATAACTACTGGACCACAGAATTTTCAGAGCTGAAAGTCCATAGCATTTTAGAGCTAGATTACACAGACCAGTGAAATTTAAAGCTTTAAGATGCTGACTTTTAAAAATGATTTTCCCCCAAATTTTAAAATTGAGGTAAAATATATATAACGTAAAATTTACCATCTTAACCATTTTTAATTGATTTTTTTAGAGAGAGACATCGATTGTTGTTCCACTTACTTATGCATTTATTGGTTGATTCTTGTATGTGCCCTGACTGTGGATTGAACCTCAACCTTGGCATATCGGGACAATGTTCTAACCAACTGAGCTACCCGGCCAGGGCTGCCATCTTAACCATTTTTAACTATACAGTTCAGTGGTATTACATACATTCATAATGTGCAACCATTATAACCATCCATCTCCATAACTGTTTTCATCTTGTAAAACTGAAACTCTATACCCATTAAACAATAATTCTCCATTCTCCCCTCCTTCAGCCCCTGGCAACTACCATTCTACTTTTGTCTCTATGATTTTGACTACTCTAAGTACCTCATAAGTGGAATCATACAGTATTTGAGTTGTTGTGACTGGCTAATTTCACTTAACATAATGTCCTCAAGGTTCATCCATGTTGTAGCATATGCCATAATACTCTTCCTTTTTAAGGCTGAATAATATTCCATTGTATGGATGTACCACATTTTGTTCATTCATACCTCAATGAACAGCTGAGTTGTCTCCACATTTTAGCTGTTATGAATAATGCTGCTATGAACATGGGTGTACAAATATCTCTTCAAGACCCTGCTTTCAATTCTTTTGGGTATATACCCAGAAGTGGAATTGCTGAATCATATGGAAATTCTATTGTTACCTTTTATTTATTAATTATTATTAACTTTACCAAAATATCAAAGTATCTCATATTTAAAAAATTAAAGAAAAATTATTCTATTAATATAAATTAATAGTAAAATAAAGACTACCAATATGAACTATACTGTGACATATAAATATTTATGTTATATATTATGCTGAATTACCTATATCGATGTTTTCTCTTCCCAGTGCCACAAGTGAGAGAAATAGTATTTCTCTATATAAACTCCTGGGGGGGGGGAGGGGAGAGAAGAAATGGAGAAGATATTACTATGCATATAGTCTATTTATTCTCTACAAAAATTTTCATGCTAATATAAACATGAGATATTCTAACAAATTACTAAGCAAACAACATTAATATGCTTAGAGGAACAATATATTCATTTAAGATAATGACTTACCTCTGTCTTTTAAAGTGAGGACATTTATTCAGTGTCTCTAAAATCTGACTCATTGGTCCATAGACATCATTCCTTTTAATGCTTTTTACCATATTTTTCAATAGTTCCTGGGTAAATGAATTATCACCTTTTTGCAATAAATGGACCATTGGATACTTTTGGGCTGTAAAAGAACCAAAGAACAGATGAAGGAAAATGTTCTTTGTAGAAAGGAGAATGTAATTAAGTAGCAATTGACAGCTATCAAAGGAGTTTCAAAGCACTAAAAATAAATTAAGGGCAATAGAAATCTAAGAATGAAGAAAGAAAAAAAGGAAAAATGTATGACAAATAATGATAAAAATAAAAATAGGCATAAAGCTTTTTGGTCAAAGACAGAACTTAAAAATACTGTTTTCCTTAATACAGCCCCTGGAGGAAGTTCTACATCAACAGCCCGGATGGAAACAAACAAACAAAAAATAAGTATAAAGAAGAAATTGGGATAAGCAATGTGCTAAAAGCAGAACTCTGCAAAACATAACCCCTGCAGCACATATAGAGGGCTACTAAAAAGCAAAACAAAACCAAAACAAAAAACCCAAAAACCCTTGACCTCCATAGACGATAAGCACTAAAAACATCAAACTTAACACTCACTCTCAAACAAAAGAGTACGATTTTGACCTGTAAGACAAAAAGTAGTATAGTAAAATAAAAGGCAGTTATATATTAGTTTAGGCTATTTAAAGTAAATAGAGATTGCTCTCATATGAACAAAGCCAGCATTCTATGATGGCACTTACTGTGGGCGTTCCAGAGGATGTACAAGGGCTGTCCCGGATCCTGATGTAATTTCATATTGTCCCATAACATTTGTATTAAAACATATTTACTATCTTCAGACATACAGTGGCGGGGAATCTGTATTGAAGAATAAACAAACATTCATTAACGATCCTTACATAATGTTTTGTAAATATCTTATAAATATCCTTATAAATATTTTTTAGGATGTATGTGTGCGAGAGAGAGAGAGAACAGAAAATGACTGGTTTGTATGCATTTTATATTGACTGAAGAAAGATGGGCTGAGTTGAGAATCTAATGATCTCTAAAGTAAAGTGATCTCCACTTTAAAGTAGATTTTACAAAACACTGAAATCAGTGACAAAGGGTAGCATGAAGGGCTAATCTCTGTAGCTTATGAGTGAGGGTCCAAACAAAGATAAACCCTGCCGCCCCATTCTACATCAGTCCAAGACCCTGGCCCAGATAACTCCAATTGAGTTAACCTTTGGTCACTCATTCATCATGTACTGAAAATCTGAAGCGTGTGCACCATCATAGACATAAAGTACAAGAAAGGAGAAGACAAAGTTTCTGAACTTAAAGACTTTCTAATTTTGTGGTGGTGATAGCATATGAAAAAGTGGAAACAGTTTTATAGAACAACATAACAAAAATACTAATGAATATATAACAAACTGACTACCTAAATGTTAAACAAAAATTTAGAGTAAAGGAATGAAGAGAATGGTAGCACATGACTGCAATATGAAGTAGAGACATTCTCTTAAAGAAGCGTTGAGGCATGAGTGGGGCCAACTCACAAAACCTTATGAGTCATTTACAGTTTATTCTTGAGGCCATAACAAAAAGGCCATTTTTGCATAAATTTTACAAGAAGGCTAAAAAACATGACTTAGATTGTAAGAAGAAAAATTATTTGTAAACGCAATTAGATCAATCTTGTCTAATGATTAAGCTGGTTATTAAAAATAGCATAAATTTTACTTTTTTTGTCATTAGGAATATACAAACACTACAATGGTGACAAAAGAATTGCCTTTTAGTTAATTTTTACTCTCATACCTTTGAATACTTATTACAATGTTCAGAAGAAAGAATCAATCCAGGTAAGTTACTGGGTAAGTCAAGTCGTCTAAAATACCAAACCAGGTTCCAAAAGACAATTGGATGATGATCCACAAAGTCTGCCACTGTAATTGCGTGATCGCCTTCATTTTCCAATAAGCTTTCAAGTTCCTTCCATACCACTAAAGGACTAAGATATGGGACAGTGATAGGATCTGGACTTGGGAGGTGCCATTCTAATCCTAAAGAATCCTGTTGAATAAATAAAAACCATAAATGGCAAATACAAGATTTATGATACTAAATCATTAAAAATTTCCTGTCAATGATTTCCATGTAAGTAGAAAGGTATTATAGTTGTATCATGGGACAAAAACTGTTCTTGACAATAATAAAATTAAAGCTAGCCCTGGAAGGGTGACTCGGTTGGAGTGTCGTCTCATACACCAAAAATGTTGTGGGTTCGATTCCTGGTCAGGGAACACATTAGGTTGTGGGTTTCATCCCTGGTAGGGGTGCGTATGGGAGGTAACCAATTGATGTTTCTCCCTCACACAGATGTTTCTCTCTCTCTCTCTCTCCTCCTCACTCTCTAAAATCAATAAACATATTCTCGGATGAGGATTAAAAGAAAATTAAAGCTAATAAGGTTGTTTAGGACAAGGTGAACAAAATCATGTAAAGTATCAATATCTGAATTTTTAAAAACACCAAAATACATACTGTAGCTCCTTGTAAAGTAGCTGGCAGGCTGCCTGTAGGAATGAGCTTCGGCCCTCCAGTGTCCTCCTTATCCAAGGGACCAGAAGTACTGACACTCCTGGCCATTGGAAATATTGGACATTTTGATATAGCTGTTTTTGATCTATCAGCAGGGATCTGAATACTTCGGGCATATGCATTTTCCAGCTGTTTAGATTTGCTTGGGTATTGGAAAAAGAAAAAAGCATATCATTGTCTAGATTTACTTTATTTCATCTAGAAAGACCATATTTTTCTTTTTAGCATTAGAACTGGACATAGCAAAGTAAATCCAAGGAATTCAGGATTCAGTCTGGAAAATGAATATATTTTTAAGTAGTCTAGTCATGTTAAATTTCCTTTTTATCCAGTGAACTTTAAATATTCAAGAGCCATTCAATTATTCAAAACATTTAGTGGACAACTTTTGTACAGCAGGAACCACAGTAGGTCCAGAGAATACAAAGCAGAGAAAATAGGCATCTATTCCTTCAGCTAGTGGAAAGGGAGATTCCCACTTATTCACAAGCTAGTGGCATCAAAGAAAGGGCTACAACAGACCTGTGATGAAAGAGTGCACACACAGATTTGCGATTTTGCTGCCTTAGGATTAAACAGGTCATGTGAGCCTTCCAGTACTATGTAGGCATTTTCTGTTGCACATGTAGTTACCAATATGGCTTCACCTTCCAGCAATCTATATTTGGCACTTCTCCAAAATGAAGCTGATTTATGCATTTGCTTTAAGCATAGATTTACTTATATTAGGCTTACTGTATATGTCTTAGTTTAATTTTATAGTTCCTTTATCAGCTCCAAATGTTTTCTTAGATTAAATATTCCTAAGTAGAAAATTAAATATTCTAAAATAGTAGTACTAACTTAATTCCTGAAGAGATAAAAACAAGAGAAAGGTGTTCATTATAAACTTTAAGTATTCTACAAAATTTTTACCTTTAAAATACCATTAAACATTATAATATACAGCTTACACCCTGGGGATTCATAGAGCATAACGTATAACTGTTTAAACATTTAGGCTATTAGATAATTTTAATATTGTTTAACTTAGAAAAATTTAAGATTATAAATCTATTATACATAGCAATATAAATCTTAAAATATTCAACTAATTCTTGTTATAAAAAACATGTATAATATAAATTATTAAATATAGTTCCACATAATCATACTCACCTATTTACATCAAAATTCCCTTGACTAGAGATAGCAGGTGTGTCAAGACGAGAGGCTGATGCTGAGATACAAGGCTGCCTTGTCTGACTTGAAAAGGAGGGTGGAAAATGCATATTTTCTGTAGATGGACTTGACTTCAAAAAGTATCTGCAATGTGAGTCAAAGGAGCTTACTGAGAAAAGAGAGGTTCTAGGAAACGTGACCCTTAAACATGAAGAAAAAAAGCATAAATCGTTACCTTCCAGGTCGTCTTAAATCTCTTATCTCGACATTCAAAAAGGGCAAGAAAAGATTGCCACAAAACGGGCATGTAGTATTGAGATTTGAATCATCTGCTGTCCAGCCAGCCATGATTTCCTCATCATGGACAAGACAATCACAAGTTCTACATCGAGAGCAACTTGAGATGAGAACCTGTGGGAGAAAATGGCACTGTATAAAGTAAGCTGGTTAGTGCATATTATTAATTAAAAACCGGTTCAATTCATGTCTACTGGGAAACTAAAGCTCAGAAGACTTCATAAGTTACAAATAAAACATGAATTACATTCAGTGCATTATATAATATACTAATCTTTAACTATTTCAGCTAAATCTATTCCAAAATTTTTGCCTGGAAAGGAAACTTGCATTTAAGTGAGCATTTTTATTATAATAATTACTATAAAACCTGCAATGGAAAAGTAAACCCAAGCATAATTTGTTAATACCCCAAATAAGTATTTGTAATTATACATTATAGATTTGTGCTACTCCAAGTGTGGTTACCAAACAAGTTCTGGTCCACAAACTCAAGTTTGTGATAAGATAAGAAATTGAAGGGATGATTTAAAAATCTTTAAAGTAATTTGTCAATGCTGCAACAAGTAAGTGTGTGATCAACATATTTTACAAGAGTATCAGCCATGACAAACTGGAGATTTAAAACAACAATAAACCCCTGGTCTGTCACTATAGATTGTTGCTGCGGATAAACATAAATACTGTCTTACATTAATAAAATGTAGAAATTCCTGAAGTCATCAGAAACTTTGTAAAATTGCAACACCAGTACTCATCATTTATTTTCCAGTGGCATACAAATTTATTATCCAATTTTATACAAATTAGCATGAAACAGTATTAACACTGGCAAATGTATTTGAAAGCAATCTTTACCCCAAAATTAGGGGACATTTTTAAAGAGTAAAGAATAGTTTTTTCATTGTAATAAAATGAGATATGGCAGCACAGCCAGCAGATAGCTACATCAAACTGATACAAAGAGTGAAAAACATGATGGAAAAAGTTGACACAAATGCCAAAACTGCTCCCTGTATTCTCATCAAGTGTGCTTGCAGAGCAAAATTGGTTTTGTTTAAGATGTAAAATAAAAATTCAAAGAGAACATACATATAACAAGGGATAAATATAAACACTGAAAATCAAAATGCTCTTTTATGTTGATAAATCTCAAAGGAACTTTTCTAAATAGAGGTAAAGTGGTATGACTTTAATAATCTGAAATACTAGATATTTTCAGTTTATTCAGGTGTGACATACATTCTGAAATTTTCAGATGCTACATATTTAACATTTTATTACAGTATCCAAGATTATCAATACTTAAGAAATGTAAATTTCATAAAGTAGTACATAAAAATGCTATTTTGATTAAAATTGTACCTCCATTGCATAGTTCTGGAAGATATTTGTATTACTCGTGTTGCAGGAAGACGCCACCTCTGATTTCCCAGGTAAGGCAAACTTTGACAGGGATCCTATCCATTATTAAAAAATAAAGAGCAAAACCATTAAAATTAATGAGAAAGGATATAAGAATCTTTCACTTTCAAAAACATTTTTCTCTGATAAAATGTTAAACTCTTCTATTCAAAATATTAAAGGCAATTTAAGAAAAACAAATAAACAACAAAGAAATGTTTTTCAATGCATGCATTTTTGTTTTGAGCGCAAACGTAAGGAAGTGTGCTCCAATTCCCGATTCCCACATGCTCGGCGCGTTTATCCATCCCTCACTTATTCAAGCACTTTCTGTGTAGAGACTAGAAGCCATTCTAGTTTTTTGTAATTACTATTTTGCTGTTTGTGTTTTTCCATGTTTAAAATACAAGAAAGTGTTTAGTTCTAAGGTCTAAAAAGTACAAAGTAGCTAATCTTATTTCAAATCACGAAAGGCTCTTTTAGGATCTGGTACAGTTATCTTGCTCTTAGACACTAGGAAAGAGTTTCCATCAGTTACATGGAAGCATGGATCAGACTGACGAATCTCAGAGGGAAGGTGGGGGTGGGTGGGGAGAGATTAGT